AGAGCGCCTGCACCTACAGCCCCCTCCAAAAGGTGGCCCGCTTTCAGTCGGTCAACTCGCCCACGAGCAGTGCTAGTGGTGGCACTTCCGCTTCCGCCTCTTCATCGCTCACGTCTTTGATCGCCTCTTCTTCTTCCTCTTCCGTTTCCACGGCCACCACTTCCTCTTCCTCTTCGTCGCCCTCGTTGTACGTAGCACCACCTTCAACCAGTGTCCCCCAATCCCGCCATGACATGTTGAACGTGAAGACGCCCTTTGCTAAGCGGACACACAGTGCCCTTCTTCCTGTTGCCGTTTCGGCTTCAAGTTCAGGTGGAGGTAATCATCACCCTCTTCACCCTCAGCCCCTTCACCCTCATCACCCCCATCACCACCACCTCAGTCATCACCCTCAGCAGCAGCAGCATCCCCACCACCCTCACCACCTTCAGCATAATCTGAATCCCTACCTGGCTGGGAGCAGCAGCAGTGGCAGCCATCTTCTGGGCTACCACCCAACTTCAGCTCCCTCGAGTAACACCAGCTCACTGAGTTTTATCGGCTCCCTTGGAGGCCTTTCCTCTTCCTCTTCCTCCTCAGCATCAGGAAATACTCTTCACCCTCGAGCCGCCTCCTTCTCCTCCTCCTCAACGAGCAGCCACTCTAGTCCGAACCGACCTAATCTGCCCAGTCTGATGGCGCCCGTCCAGCAGCAGCAGCGGAAGCTATCAGCGCTGGGAGGTGCCAGCAGTGGTGGCAGCGGTGCCAGTGGAACTTTGGGCGCTAGCAGTTCTGGCAGTCAGAATATTGGTCCGAACAATGGCAATTCTGTGAACGGCAAAAACAGCACAGGCACTACCTCTCCGGGCGCCTACTCGGCACGCTCCAAGAATGGCAAGTACGAGCTGAAGATTCTCTCGCAGCCTGAGGAGCAGCACCGGTGAGTAGAACCACTAAAAAATGTTGTCATTTTAATCCTGAAACCTTTTCCCTCCTCCTTTTTCCCCTTTCAGTGCCCGCTACCTGACGGAGGGCAGTCGGGGCGCCATCAAGGACAAGTCCGGTCACGGGTACCCGGTGGTGAAGCTGTGCGGCTACTCGCGCCAGCCGGTGAAGATTCAGTGCTTCATCGGCCATGACAAGCAAATTGGCACGCCGCACCTCTTCTACCAGGCGTCGAAGATTGCGGGGAAGAACTCGACCGCCTGCTTCCTCAAGAAGGTCGACGGGACGAGCATCATCACCATGGAGGCGCAGCCGGCCAATAATATGGAGATTAACGTCGACTGCATTGGCATTCTCAAGGTAAAGGAAAAGGGTTTGCTTTTGTACTTTTGTAACCTTTGGACTTTTCTAGGAGCGAAACGTCGACGTGGAGCAAAAGCTGAACAAGTTTCAGCGCCTTGGAGCCAGTGTAGGTGCCGCTGCCGCCGCCGCCGGTGCCAGCAGCAGCAATGGTGGCGCAGGTTCAGAGAATGAGGTACAGTCAGTGGCCAACATCAAGCGGTCCACTCGGTGTCGCCTCGTTTTTCGCTGTGAAATTCCCGAGACGTCGGAGACCTTGCAGGCGGTCAGTGCGGCCATTCTTTGGTAAGTCTCTGATTATGCTAATGGGAAACCTCTTTTCATTCTATTTTTCCTTTCTTTTCCTTTTCTTCAACACAGCACCCAGCCGCTGGGCACGCCGGAGATCAACAAGAAGTCGCTCTCGCAGTGCGACATCAACGGCGGCACGGAGCTCTTCATCATCGGCAAGAACTTCCTCAAGGACGCCAAGGTGATCTTTCGCAATGAAAAGTGGATCAAGATTGTCGAACCGAATCGAGAGTATCTTAAGTCGGTAGGTGTACCTCTCTCTTATCACCACCACAAGCACCAGATCTTGACCTTTGCCTGTTTTGGTTTCTTTCCCATCGATCTATTTATAGACCCATCTAATCTGCACCGTGCCAGCGTACGATGCCCCGGTGTCAAAGGGCAGTGGTGGTTTGCATGCTGGTCACCACCACCACCAGCACCACCACCAGAGCAGTCTTCACGGTCATGGAAAGTCTTCCTCTCCGCCCAATGTGATCGAGGTGAACCTGATGGTGAAGAGCGGCGGCAAGTGCTCTGATCCGCACAAGTTCTTCTACACTATCAACGGCGGTGGCAGTGGCAGCAGTGGTGGTGGTGGTCTCAGTTTCAGTGGCCTCCTCGATACTTCCACCTCCTCCTCCAACTCGGCTGCCATCTCCGACGTGTGCTCCTCCTCGGCGGCAGACGTGGTCTCCACTTTCAGTAATCATGGTGAGTGCTAGATCACACATCGAATGGTTTTATGTACAAAGGACAAATACGGTGTAGTGGTTCTTTTCCACTGATTTTCTGGCAGTTGATCACGTCCACGACCTTTGACTGCCGCTGTCTCGGTTTTCTTTTTCTTTTGGTGGCCTCGCTGATAAGGAGAGGAGAGAAGAGGGCAAAGTGTGGACAGGACTTTGCTTTATCAGCAGGATCCATTTTCAACTTGAGCAACTTTAGCCCTTGTTTGATTAGAGTTTAAGGTTAAATTCGGTTCGGTTTCTGATTCCCGTTTTTTCATTTCCTAGATTCCGCCAAACTGATGGACACGCTGATGGAGGCGAGCAACCACTCCAGTGACGCCTTTCACTTTCAGGCGGCGGCCTATGCCCAGGCCCAGGCAGAGCAGGCCAGCAAACAGCAGCAGCAGGATCACGCCGCTCTCACCGCGGCCATCGTCGACCAGTCCTCCCAGTCGGCAAATGACCTCCTCAACGCCAGCCTCACCAGTCACATCGCCACGGAGCTGGTGAACCAGGCGCAGGCGGCGGCGAACGCCTCGGCGGCCGCCGCCAACGGCGGCAGTGATACGCCCAATGGAGCGGCCGCTGCTGCGGCCCTGGCCGAATCGACCGCCGTGGGAAACTCGGTCCTGGCGGCGGCAGCCGTGGTGGCCGCCAATGAGGTGCAGGCACTTTCCGATAGTAACCAGCTGACGGCGGCCAACCTCCACCAGACGGTGACGACGGCGGCGGCGGTGGCGGTGGCCGCCACTGAGGCCGTTCTCGCTGATAATGCCGCCGCCGCGGCTAGTAATGCTGCTGCGGTGGCTGCGGCCGCCGATCCTCATGGTCACCTGCATGGTCATCACCATCACCACCACCATCAGGTGCCGACGGCGATTCCCGGGCCGCCGAACCAGGCGACGGTGGCGGTGGTTGCCGCGCAGAGTAAGTATTGAAAAATTTAAAAATCTTTGTTTATTTAATCTTTTTCCTCTTTTTTACCAGTAAACTCGATGATCCCCTACCTGACGGCCAGTTCGACTGCTCTGAATGTGGCCGCAGCGGTAAAGCAGGAATCGCTGGCGGTTGAATCGGAGTTGGCTGCTGCGGCGGCGGCAGCCGTCGCTTCAGGCACTTCGCCACCTCAGCAGCAGCCGCAGTCGATGATGGGCCACTCCCCTCCGAACTACCCAGGCAGTCAGCTGACGGCCTACTCCTCCTCCTCGCCGAGCAATGACGGCGGCAGTCCACTGCAGGGGGGTGGTGGTCCAGTGCAGTCGATGCAGTCGATGATGGTCCAGGAACAGCAGCAACAGGTGGTCGCAGCTGAGCAGCAGCAGCAGCAGCAATTGAACGTCATGATGAGTCAGGCGTATGGGTCACCGAATAACCAGCAGGTACTGAACCGACAGTCATCGATGGAGACGGGGCCAATGTCCTTTGCCAATGTGGGCAATCAGCAGCAGCAGATGGGTGACCCGAACCTGACCTCTGTCCTGAAGGTGGACAGTCTGACGCTGCAGGACAACCCACTACCACCGCCACCTGTGCCACTCCCCCAACTGAGTCTCTCTGACATTAGCACTCAGCTGTCGATGGCGCCGCCCTCGATGGCCTCCACCACTGGCGCCCTGGTTCCCATTGACACTGTCATGTCGGAGAAGCCCATCATCTTCTCGCAGGAGGTGCAGCAGCAGCAGCAGCAGCAGCAACAGCAGATGATGATGGCTGCGGCGGCAGCGGCGGGCGGAAGTCCCAATGAAAAGACCCAAATGGTGCCAATGTCTACGATGATGGCCACTGATGGCACTGGTTTATCAGTGGCAATAGTCGGCGGTCCGGGCAGTGTCATCATGAGCCCTCAACAGCAACAGCAGGGCGGTCCTTTCGGTCTGATTTCTCCTTCCGACTCGACCCTTGTTCCAACAACTTTATCCCCTCCTTCGACCGTTCAGCAGCAACAACAGCATTTTGGCAGTCCGCTCAAGTCGGTGGTCAGTGAGTACGGCAGTGCAAACAGCAGCAGCCTTCAGCAGGTCACTGATATGAAGTTGGCGGCAGGGGTCATGGCACAGCAGCATCAGCAGATTCCTTCGCCCAACATGACCGGAATTCTGCCCTCTCCTCCGCTGAATCCAAACAGTCCCGAACAGCAGAAACAGCAGCAGTCTTCAGTGGTGGTAGTGCCCAACACCATCGAGTCATTCATTCAGAACATGGCCAACCACGAGAGTGCCCAGCAGCAGCAGCAGCAGCAGCAACAGCAACAGCAGCAACAAATGCTGTGCACCTCGCCGACCACAGTAGCCCTCACCATGCCCAGCAATGTCTCCTCGGCAGTGGTGACGCCCTCTGCGTACCACTCTTTGATAAGCAGTCAACAGCAGCAGCAGCAGATGTCTTCAGTTGGTGGGGGCGTCATTGCCACCTCGAATCCAGTGGTAATGCCGATGGGGATGCAAAGACCTCCCGTGGGTGCCACCGTGTCGTCGATGATGATGGACACGCTGCCCTCTGCGCTGACCACCACCACCACCACCTCCAACAACAATAATCAGCTGGCGGGCTGCAACGGGGGCGTCATCCTCTCCTCGACCGCTTCGACCATGTGCTCCAATCCACAGCAGCAGAGTGCTGTGGTGACGAGCAACAACAGCAACAACAACCTCGAGTCAGTGTCGCTGCCCGGGATGCGAGGCATTCCCGTTCAGTTTACCGACAATGTGGAGATGGCCTCGGTTGGGCAGCAACAGCAACAGCAGCAACAACTTCAGCAGCAGCAGCAGCAGTCCTTGATGCCGCCCACCAGTATGATCATCTCCAGTCAGTCGACGGCGCAGACTGGTGTTGGGGGCGGTGATCTTTCAAAGGAGGTGGTGGGCGTGATCCCATCGGTGGTGGCCGCGGCCGCAGCTGCTGCTAATGCTACCATGGGACCGACAGTATTAGGCGGAAGTGCTGCTACTGCTCTTCAGCAGGCTCAGCAGGCTCAGCAACAGCAACAACAGTCTTCGAACATCTGCACCATGTCGACGATGACGGATGCTGAGTTGATCAACTTTATCAACCCGTCGACCTTTGAATGAATGGGATGATGATGAAGATGATGATGACACGCACAAGCAACCAGAGATGCCACCAGCTGAAGATGTGACACTCGATGAAGAGATGATCACCTGATGAGGAGGTGTCAGGTCCTCAGATCTAAGTCGTTGTTGGGTGTTGTTAAATGCCGGGCAGTGTGTTACGGTCGCTGTTCAGTCAAGCAGACCAATCAGTTTGTACAGTTCATCAGTTTTATCGCACACTTCTTTTCAGATTTTTTGGTCCAATCACTCACTCACTGACTTCCGTTTGTAATATAGTCACTCCCTCTCTCTTTCAGTCTGTTTACACACCTCATCCTATACGTATCGTTGCTCTATCTATTGCTCTCTATCGTGTTTATACAATCAAAAATGACTTACTATTACTAAAATCCAAACAAACTTAATATCACAGCTCATCGTGCGCCAGCCGGCGCACCTTGAGCGGCCGATCGACGGCGAAGAAGTGCGTGCTCTGCTCAAAGTGCAGATTGTAGAGTCGGTAACGGGAGGCAAAGGCGCTGAAGGAGGAGATGCAGTTGCCGAGGAAGACGTTGGCAGTGGAGAGCAGGTGCAGATCGACCATAAAGTGAGGTGGGGAGGGCAGGTTCAGAGGATGTTTGGTCACCGTTCCGTTGACGTGGATCGTCTCACTGGGCGTGATCAGCGTCAGATTGAAGCCCTCTCTGTTGAGCTGGTCGTGCAGGGCCGTCCAGAGGGCTCGATTGTCCAGGTCGGTGGCAATGTAGAGGTACTGGATGGGCGCCTCAGGGTGGCGGTAGGCGTTGTGGCCGTCCAGGGCGTACCGAATCGAAGCGACCAGCTGCTCGGCGGAGGGCAGACAGAGGTCGTAGGTGACGAAGGGCGGTGCCCGGGGGCCGGACTGGGCGTAGTTGTCGCCGTTCAGGCACTGCTGGCTGGAGAAGAGCGTCTTCAGGTCGGCGTTGCTCTTGATCAGCTCGCAGGCTCGGGACTGAAGAGAAAAGGAGGTAAACAAAAGAGAGGTTAGTAAGCTTACAAATAGAAATGTGCCCTGTTTCTCCACACACTTACCCAATCGGTTCCGTGGCGAATGTGCACCGCCAGGTAGGGCGCCCGAGCGAAGCCAAGTCGCTCTCGGTGTCGCCGACTTGCCTCCACCATCCGCCGTGAAAAGTGGACGTACTTTTGCAGCTGGACGGCTTTGCTGTTCGTCGGAAAGGCCGATGGGGCGCCTACAAAGGCGAGCACCGGCCTGGACTGGGCGCTGAACTGGGCCGTCCACTCGCCGGCGAAGGTAAAGTCGGTGTGAAGTGGACCGTAGAAGACGGAGCCGCCGGCGAAATCGGCTACGCCAACTCCGCGCCAGAACTCCCGAAAGGGGCTGCCTTCGAATGGATTGCACCCGTTAACAGGTGGCTTGGAGGAAGAGGAAGAGGAGGAGGTGCCAAAGTCCCGAGAGGCGTAGCAGAAGATGGTTCGATTTTCTGCGTAAAGAAGAAGGTAAGTGTGATTTGTTTTGTGCAAATCGAACCATTGTACTGTTTACCTTCCTTCCAGATTTGAGGTGCAAGCTGCTCCATAAAGTCCCTGAAGAGGACGACGCGGTGGTACTCACGAAGACGGTCAACATCGATGTAATCGTCAAATGGCGTGAACTTGATCTTTAATCGAAGTGTTTTGTTATCAGATCAATCGAAAAAAGCCCAAAAATAAGGACATCTCACCTCGTACTTGACGTACTCGATAAAGGGCGGCAAAATGAGCGTCCGATTGAGGTGCTTGGCAAACTGAAGCGATCCGAGGAACTGCTCCGCCTGATTGCCGAATCTTCCTGAAGATAAGTTGATCAGCTGATATCAGCTTATTGATCTCAGAAAAGTACTTCAACTTACCCATACAGGGACAGTAAACAATGTACCCATTAGGATCCACTTCAAGAGCCACTTCGGCGTTTGCTGCCCACTGGAGGCTGCAGGCGGCAGCCAAAGCGATGACAACCAGACAGTTGATCACCCTCATGTTTGCTTAATCCGATCAGAACGGTTTTACTACGATAACCTATTTAGCATTTTCAGGATTCAAAGAAAGGAGGATCCCAGAAAGAATCCGCCGGGAAAAAGAGAGATGGAATCCGCGACCAAGTCTAAATCGCCTGCTATTTCAACACTTTCAGGCTTTGCAGAACAGAAAGTCTTGTTTTGATTTCATTTTTCTTTTTCACCCAGTTTTGGTGATTTTGTGAACTATTTTTTGGCGTGACGAGGATCAAACTTTTTTTGCCGGGACCTTTGGTCCTCATTATCGCCAAAACACACCACCATGTCAATATGGCACGAGGCGCGGAAGCACGAGAAGAAGATCCGCGGCATCATGGTGGACTACCGCAAGCGGGCGGAACGCCGTCGGGAGTTCTACGAGAGCATCCGCCGCGACCCGGCCTCCTACCTGCAGATACACGGGCAGGCGATGAAGGTGCACATTGACCCGGCCATCTCCCAGGCCGCCGACTCCTCCCTCGTTCCCTGGATGGGCGACCCGAAGAACCTCATTGACCGCTTCGACGTGCGCGCCCACCTCGACTACATTCCCACGCCGTCGGATGTGTCGGTGGGAGGTGCCACCGGCGATCAAAGTGATTCCCATCAGCACCAGCTAACCGCCGACCAGGAGTGCCAGCTCAACTACGAACGCTACCGCAACCTCATTCACAACGACTACCTCGGACTGGCGGAGGCAAAGGTGCTCAATCAGATTTACCTCGAGGAGAGGGGCGGCGGTGTCGGCGGCGGTGGGCCAAACAGTCGAACCAATGCCGCAGCAGCCGCCGCTTTGAAGCAGAAGTCAGCACAGGAGCTGAAGAAGAGGCTGGCGGAGAAGCGGGCGGCGATTGGCTTCAACTACGACGAACTCAACGACGGCGGTGGCGGTGTTCACAGCGGAGACGAAGACGCCGAAGCGGCCCACTCCGAGGATGAAGAGGAAGAGGAAGACGCACTTGAGGAGGAGGAGGAGATGGACACCCCCGTGGACGTGGCCGAGCTGACGGAGGAGAACCGGGCGCGCATCAACTCGCTGGCGGGCAAGTTCGGCGTCCACGACCGCCTCTTCACCAAGTTCAGCAACATGGACCGGGAGGACGCGGAGAAGCTGCGCATCGCCAAGGAGCTGGAGAATGAGAAGCTGATGTTTGTCGGGCGAAAGTCGCGCCGGGAGCGAAAGGAGCTGAAGCAGCAGCGGATGCTCATCCTCCGCTCCTTCAACTGCGACGACCCGAATGACCACTTTGGGAGGAGTGCCGCCGCCGCCGCTGCGGCTGCTGCAAAAAAGTCAAGCGAATCCGAATCGGACGATGAGGACGATGACCTGGCGAAGGCTGGCCCAATTGATGAGAGCAAGGTGGAGTTTATCACCTCTTTTGGCCACTCATCTGAGGAAGAGGAGGAGGAGGAAGAAGAGGAAAGGAAGGAGACGGCGGCGGCGAAGCCAAAGCCTGCTGACCTGAAGAAGGAAGGCTTCAAGAAGAAGAAGAAGAAAAAGCAAAAGTCAACCGACAATGGCAACAGCTCCCTAGTCTTCGGTCCAATGTTGCCCAGTGCCAAAGAGATAGGCGGCGGCCCATCGGCGGCAGCTTTTAAGTTCAACTCATCGAGCAAGCAGCGAGGTCGACAGTCGTTTCGCTACTCGGGCAAAAATGGAAGCGATGATGATGATGACAACGTTTCCTCTGCCGCCGCTTCTCGAGTCACCCGAGAGCGAACTCCCATTCAGGAAATCTACCGACGAGGTGCGGCTCGTCGATCAACTTCTCGAAGTAGAAGTAGAAGCAGAAGCAGCAGCAGCGACAGTGATCACCACAACAGCAGATCTTCTCGATACCGTCGACGCCGCTCCAGTGGCTCCTCTTCACCCTCACCGAGGTCGCGAAATCGAAATCGACGAAATCAAAGCCGAAGTCTTTCGCCAGGTTCTCGTCGTCGTCGGCGCAATCGATCTCGAAGTGGAAGCAGAGGGAGAGGAAGAAGAAGTGTCTCTCGAGAGCGTTCTAGTCGAAGAAGTGGTCGTCGTTCCCGTTCTAACACGAAACAGCGGTCCAGACGGTCTCGCTCTAACAGTCGAGACAGACGACGACGACGCTCGAGAAGTCGAGAGGCTGATCGGAAGAAGCGGAACAACAGGAGTAGAAGTCGAAGTGGAAGTCGTCCTCGTCGGGATCGGGATCGAGATGCGAGTGGCAGCAGCAATAGACGTCGGCCAAGCCCAAGTGCCAATCGAGGGGAAAACAGGTCTCGGCAAAGTCAGAGCAGTAGAAGGACGCCGCCAAGGAGGGACTCTAAAACTTCTGACACTTCTTCTTCTTTGGTGAAGGAGGCGCTACCGAGTGTGCGACCACCACCTCCTCCTCCTCCGCCATCTTNTGGCAGCAGCAATAGACGTCGGCCAAGCCCAAGTGCCAATCGAGGGGAAAACAGGTCTCGGCAAAGTCAGAGCAGTAGAAGGACGCCGCCAAGGAGGGACTCTAAAACTTCTGACACTTCTTCTTCTTTGGTGAAGGAGGCGCTACCGAGTGTGCGACCACCACCTCCTCCTCCTCCGCCGTCTTCCACATTATCATCTCTTCGACCTCAGCAGCCACCACCACCACCCCCTCCTCCTCTACCCACTTCAAAGTCATCAACGCCTGTGAAGGCTTCTGTAAAACAACTTTCACAGATTCCATTGCCTTCACTACCACTTCCACCACCTCCTCCACCACCACCACCTTCAGTACTTGAAAGTCCTCAACCTCCGCCCATCAAACGCTACTATCGACATGACCTGGCGGAGAAAGACGAGTTTGACGTGAGCGATGATGAGGATGAGGATAGTAGCAATACTGCTAAAAGGTATTTTTAAGTTTTCCATTAAAAAAATTTCCTAACCTTTTTCAATTTTATTTATAGCAAAAGCTCTACAGCAGCAGCAGCCGTCCCACCAATACCACCACCACCTCCACCCTCAACCTCAAGACATAAATCAGTAGAGACCTCAAATAGTCTCTCCACTACTGGAGTTCACGATGTCAGTAACAGTATTTCCATTAGCTGCTCCATTAGTCTACTTCTTTTTCTTTATTCAATGTCAATCATAATGCCTTTTTCGATATTATTCGGTCCAATGCGGCCAATTCCAAACACAAGGCCGCACTCACTCGTACTGCTAATTTGGTACTTTTTTGACTGGTTGAGCGAAACAGCGAGACAGAGAGATCTCCTAGAAGTTACTACTCAGCCACTACTTTGCATCTTTTAACTGTTTGCCCATCTAACACCTTTCATGTCGTTCCAATTTAGCTGTCCACTTCTGCTCGATCGACGCAGAATAGCAGCAGCAGCAGCATGACACCCCAGGAGCGGCTGAGGAGGCTGATGCAGGCGCAGTTGGACAAGGAATGTAAGTGATTGCTTACAAAGAATTTCTTGACCTTTTCCTGACTAACATCTTTTCACCACTCGAAAGATAAACGGGACAAGAAGGCCGCTCAGGAGAAGCTGGAGAAGCAGAAGCAGGAGCAGCTGGAGCGAGATGAGGAGCTGACGAAGATGAATCGAGTGGTTCAGGAGAGGTACGCAGAGCTCTGGAACTTGTTCGAATGTTAACCAAACTTACTATTCTACAGGCGTTTTCGAAACCACCGCGACCAGCGCAGCTTCTCTCGATCTTCTTCTCGCTCTTCAGTGGACTCTGCAGCCGATCGCTCGCCGGCGGCGGCGGCCAGATCGGCGAGAAAGAGACATCGTCGCTCTAGTTCTCGAAATAGTAGAAGCAGCAGCAGTAGTAGTAGTAGTAGCAGTAGTAGTAGTGGTGGCAGTAGAAAGGGAAGGAAGAGTAGGAGAAAGAGCAGGAGCAGAAGTCCATTGAGAACATCAAGAGGAAGGGGAACCGAATCATCTCGTCATGGCCGCCGGCGCAGCGTTTCACGATATGATTCAGAGGTTTGTGCGAGCGACTTCTTTTTTTGCCGAGCTGATTTACCACTGTGTTTCGCCACCTTTTAGATAACCAGGTAACGTGTTCAGCCTAGCATAATCATCATCTCTCCCTTTGTTTGAAGATTGCTAATGAATAATTAATAAAGCTCTTGTTTGGAAACATGTGTGTGATCTCGGGAAGTAGCGCTGTTTTTTGAACCAGCCCGAAACCCGCCAAACACTGTGGCTACATTAACCGACTTGCGGGGGGTGGGTTGGTGGGGTGCAAACAGCGGCGCTTTTGTAAGCGATGCGTCAGTTTTTGTGCGCTGCCTGTGCGCTGCTGCTGACCAAAGAGAAAGAGAGGCTTACCACTTGTTTACTGCTGGGCTTTACGCTAATACACATCACCAGAAGAAACGACGAAGACGAAGACCAAGAAAAGGAGGAAAAGAAATTCACCACCACCACCAGCACTTGACGACGACGACGATCATCACCTCGAGGTGTAGCTCGCTCTCCTCCTCGTCACCACCACCACCAGTTCTCAATTTCATCATCAGTCGCTGGTACCAGTTCAAGAGCAATTACAAGGCAATTACATCCTCGCGTCACCATGACACGTAACTCTCGTTCCATCTACCTCTTCGGGGGCCTCGTCTGTCTGGCCATCCTCACGCGCTATGTCCTGGCCGCCGTCGGCAGTGGCGACCAGGTGACCATCAACGGTGGTGGCAAAGGAGGCATCAAGAAGGCGCCCACTGGAAAGAGCTCCCTGGTGACGCTCTCTGAGGCCGATTGGGATCAGATTCTTGTGGGCGAGTGGATGGTGGAATTGTAAGTGTTGGGCTTGGCTTGCTTTACTGATCACTCTTGTACTAAAACATTACCTTCTCTTTACAGCCACGCCCCGTGGTGCCCGGCCTGTCGGGCTCTTCAGCCAGAGTGGAAGACCTTCTCGGGATGGGCTTCGGATTTAGGGTGAGCCATCTTTTGTTTTCAGCACTTTTTATCAGATAGTTTTTCTATATTTTAAATCTCCTAATCTCTCCCATCCTTCCTCAGCATCAAAGTTGGCGCCGTCGACGTGACCGCCTACCCTGGACTGAGTGGACGATTCTTAGTAACCGCTTTGCCTACCATTTACCAGTGAGTGTTTGCCATCTGAGTTTTCTGATTGTTTTCGATTACTAATCCTCGCCACTTTTAGCGTCAAGGATGGCATTTTCCGCCAGTACAAGGGCACTCGCGACACGAACGCCTTTGTCAGCTTTATCGAGGAGAAGAAGTGGCAATCGATTGAGGCGGTGACCACCTGGAAGGCGCCCGATTCTTATCAGTAAGTGCGACTGTTGTTGCTGAAGATGATGATCCTACCTGCTAACTTCCCTTCCCTTTAGAATGTCCTTTGTCTCGCAACTCTTCAAGATCTCCATGGCCCTCCGCTCAGTTCACAACAGCCTCGTGGAAGATTACGGCATTCCCTACTGGGGCTCGTACATCGTCTTTGCCTTAGCCACCATCCTCGTCGGCGCCATCCTGGGCCTGGTAAGTGCTCAAATTCGTCAGCTTTATCAACCTTACAATCACTAACAACTTTGACTCTTTCCACCACCACCACCAGCTTATCGTCTGCGTCATTGACCTGATTTGGCCGGCAAAGTTGGGCGAGGTGCCCTACAAGGAGCTGGCCCGACAACTGTCGGCTGGGGCTGCTGCCAGTGGCGGCGGTGCCGGTGGTAAGCAGAAGACGGACGACATCATCGAGGATGACGTCAGCGAGAGTGGCAGCGATGAGGGCGAAGGCACCGGCACTCCGGGCACTGGGGCCAGCGAGGAGACTGCCACAACCGACGATGACCAGGCGGCTGGGGCCTCAGCTGAGACTGAGGCGAAGCAGACCAGCGGCGACGACGGCAAGGGCCAGCAGGCGCTACGAAAGCGCCGCGCCCGCAAGGACGGCAACTAAACTGATGATGTTTGTGTGTGCATCAAGTCTTGTATCTATAGGCGTACAGTTCCCATCCCTTTTCCCTCTTCTTCTTTCAAAACGCACCAAGTTGCAGCACACACTCGCTCTCTCTCTCTCTTTTCCACACACACTCGCTTCACCTTCTGACGACATTCAGCTGCTGCTTTTGCTCTCTCTTTTGTTTACCTTTGGGCATTAACCCCCGGGCGGCGATCCTTCCCCCCCCCCTCTTTTTGTGAATATTTATTGAATACTTATTGCTACTATTACATTGCTACCTAATATTAATGCTACCTTACCCACACCCACACACTCCCTCCTCCCTCAAAATGGAATCAAGATCTTAGACTCTCCTGCGCTCTCCTGATAAGCCTTTCCCACCTGGAACGCGCATATTCAAACACTCTTTTCTCTCTTTCTCTCTGTGGTAAGCAGGATGTTATTTTGTTGTAAAGTCTACTCTACCTACTACCTAATTGTACACACACCCTCTCACACAAGTACTCTTCTCCTCTCCTCTCTCTCCTTGGATCAATACAGCAAATAATTTTTTATTTTTTATTTATAAGATTTACAAATGGGAAAAGAGGGGGACACTCGACTCGACACAACTCACTAGCACTGGAGAGTGGTTCTACAGCTTTCGACGACGACGACATCATCATTAGATTTAGATGCGGCGGATGTCGCGCTTCTCGTAGGGGTAATCACCGCGGCGGCACTCTTCGTCCTTCTCTTTCTGCGTGATGGCGATAAAAGAAGAGGTGGTGTGTTAGGAACAAACATGAAGCAAAGAAAAGGAATATTCTAAAGAACTCACGAAGAGATAGTGCAATCGAAGGGCGCCCAGCATGATGGGAATCTGCGTCCAGAAGGCGTACTTCCAGAAGGAGGGCCAGTTGGGCTTCCAGTGTTCGTAGATGGAGGCTCGCATCGCCGTGTACCGACTGACCACAGGGTCAAGCTGAAAAAAGTGCCAAGAAAAAGGGTGAGTCAACCAAAAGCTGTATAAAACAACCACAAACCGGTGCACTTACGATTTCAATGTGCTGAGAGTGTCGGTGAGGATTGTAGAAGACGCGATTGAACTCGGCCTGCAGCTTCATGCGAATCTCCCGACGGCGGCGAATCTGGTCCAGCTCACGTGCCGACTCGTGAAAGCCAAACGGACTCTTCGGAGCACCACCGCCACCACCGCTGCTGGACATCTTGGAACACTGTGAAGAACTTTAGCAAGAACTTGAAGAAAGTGGAATCAGATCGGCGAGATTCAGCAGAACCAGAAACCGACAACAGCAGTGCTGGCTGTACAGAGCAGCGGCCTGAAAGTCGACCTCAAGAGAAACAAAAACAACAACAATCGATTCTTCAGTATCGATGGTGAGAAAACCAAAAAATGTAATTTTAAATTTTTTTTATTTTCAGATAAGAAAGGCAAGTCAAGATAATATGAAAGTGTATGTACAAGATGAATCATCGAAACGACAAGAAATGACCTCAAGAAGCGTGTTGTTAAAGAAATGTAAGGTCATTGTGTGCAGCAGCAGCTCTGATACTACGTCAATCAGTCATCCACGTCTTCATTGAGATTTCGGTTCGCCGACTCCAAGTCTTCGGTGGCTTGATCGAGATTTTCAATGCCACTGGCGAGAATACGCTCTCCTGTTTGAGGGAAAGAGGGCGGAAAGCGAAAAGGTTAGTGTCATTGTTGTTTGTGATCTCGACATTGACGACAGTCGTTCCGCTTCACTTACTGATTAATTCGGCAATTGCAATCTGCGTGCGCCTTTCCAGTTTCTCCAGCTTTTTGGCGATGTTTCGTTTCAGATCCCAGTCGACCTTGCGCGGAGCCAGCTTTGTTAGATCCTAGAGTAGTACGGGTAATACCAAAAAGTGGTTGATTGATAAAACGAAAATAGAATTCAGTTGACAAAAAAACTTACAATGTCATCGGCATGTGGCTCATCGTGGGCACTCTCGAGCACGTCCTGAATGTGATCAGCAACTGAAGAGGAGGAGGAGGAGGATTTGAAAAGCAACCAAACAAGTCAAAAATAGAAGTTGGACGTAACACAAAAGTTGATCACCTGATCAAGCTCAGGTGATCAAACGTACCGTTCTCCGGCTTTCCCGATGGCAGCGTGCTGTCCTTCAGCGTGGCGTCCGCCGGAGTGTAGCTGCGAAATTTGGGCCTTGGGAAATGTACAGAATGTTAGCATGTTAGAATAAACTTCCAAAATATCTCTTCCAAAATTACTTTGGCAACAATTTGGTCTTCTCTTGAACCGAGGAGGTGGCCGGGGCTTCCACCGCATCGCCGGGCAGCTTGCGCTTGTTCCGCAGCTCCTGAATCCGCTGCCGCCGCTTCAGCGCCTCCTCCTCCATGTGGCCGACATTGCTCTCCTCTTCCGGTTCTGCCACCTCTTCAGGGTGATCGGTGATCATCGTCATTGGAGGACAATTCTACCTGAACAATTAAAGGGAATCGAGGTAGATTCTGTTGATGGAATGCAACGAAAACAGTCAACACACCGCTGCACCATTCACAGTGGACGTGATCCACTGTCACATTTTTTTGTGTTTTTGTTTTGTCAAAAACGGCGCCGAAGCACAGGTAAAGTGAAAGGGAGAGAAAGCAAGTTTTGCATCATCGACTTTCCCGCCACCGCCGACCAGCAAGACCAGCAATTATCTAGGCCCCCGGAGCAATTACCCACTGAAGCTGTTGTTGTGTGCCTGCTCAACAGCTTTTTGAGCTTGACAAAAACATTTGAGTACATTCGGCGAATCCTCGGTGCCCACTTCAGTACTTCAGCGGAGCGGTGTTGACACACTCCAAAGAATTCCCGGTAATCATTAGCCGTAATTGAATTCTACTTTCAGTTCTATTTTAGGCCGTCTCCCTGCCTGTCTCCCAAGTGGATATTCGCGGAAATTCGATTTCCCATCCATTCGCTGTCCATTCCCACTGAGAGAGAGAGAGGTGGCGAATTCTTCTTTAGCACCCGTTTTCTCTCTAACTGTATTTCCTCTGTCTCTCTTTGCCAGTTTCATCACCACCATCATCATCTATGCTGATAATTGAATTGAAGAGCCTGGGCGCGCTGATCAGGAATTCTGCCATCGCCATCTCCATCTCCATCTCTACCGCCACCACTACATTTCAAGCGGGCGCATGTTCAGTTCGACAGTGAGCAGCAGCAGCAGCTAGCCTGGAAGCGACAGCCAAAGCCGCAAAAGAGCAGAAAAAGTATAAAGGGGAAAAGAAATCTCGACGCATGTCTGCTCGAACTCGATCTGCTGTTTTGCTATTTTCTTCTTCTTCTTCTTCATCTTCAGCATTTCGCCGTCTTCTACTTCTACTTCTACTTGAAACAAGCTTCATCCTTCAGCTGCCTCCCCTCTTTTTCCTTCTTCATTTCAGTCTTCACTCCGTCTTCACTTCGTCGATGTGGCCATCTCATCGCCATCCCCATCCTCAGCAAGCTGAGTTGTATAGCGGCAGCAACTGAGCAAGCAGTTGTAGCTGTAGCAGCAAACAAACACAGCCAAAGCGAAAGAGCAAACTTTGAGCCGCCGCCGCTATCCCATTCTCCTTCTTGCTCCTAAACGCTCCTTCACCTCGGCAAGTCTTCGGCGCCTCACACTCTCTCATTTACTCTCGTACACGCTGTATATCCTCCTCCTCCTCCTCTGCCCACTAACGGACCGAGCACTGCTATCACACATACACTCTCACACACTTCAGTGAAGTGCGTTCCACCACAGGCAGCAGCACTGCCACCACCACCACCACGACGACCGCTGAAGACCACTACGACCCGCACCAGAAAAGCGCTGTGCACCCAGTTCCAACGCACGCTCTCTGCACAGAGCATTAGCAAAACAACAAACCCCGGACACACGGCAGCCAGTTTCAGTCAGTTGGATCACGTATTCACCTTGTGCAGAGTGGCGCCCGTAAAAGAGAGCAATCCTCTAAGGAAGAAGTAACTGTGATTCGTACGAGAGCGCACACAACGGTCTTCAGGTCACCACCGCCGGTGAATCACACGAGCTCGACTGACGACCACGGCGACAACGACCGCCTAGTCACAGATCGTCTTGCTCTTTTCCTTCACTAAACACCAGCGTGTGTCCTCGTGTAAAGGAAAGGGCTCGGGGAAAGACCGCTTTGATCTGCAACCACTCTTGATCGCCCACTCCTGTTTCGTCATCGCAGGGACACTCACTCATCATCTCACTACCCCGTTATCATCTCTACTTGCCGTACAACACCGCCGTACTCTCCTGCAGTAGAGCCACTGCTGCCGCTGAAGGTTTCACCACGACCACCGTCTGTTCGCACACACATGTTCTGCTCCTCTACGCCACCAGAGCTCACAGAGTAGAGTTGCAACAATCACAACAAAAACAGCAACAACAACAACACCAGCAGAAACAATCACCGTCAAAGAAGAAGGCACACATCATCAACAACAAGAAGAAGAGCGGCGCGCATCGAATCACTGAAGCTTACGTGTTAACAGACGAGCAAGCCCTTCACTCCTTATCATCAACACCACCACCACAGTTGCCGCTAATCATCGCTTTGATTGATTAGCTTTAGCACCCCGCACACACACACATTAGAAACCGACATTGATTGGAGCTCCTTTCAGTCAGACGGAAACAATCGACTCTGCGACAAACTGTACTACCCAGTGCGTACTACCCAGCGCGTGTTTTCCCGCAAACACGCAAGTGCTGTACGACATCGTCAGAAGCTGCTTATCCGCGTGGAAGTGCTGATGCTTCAACTTTTCTCCTCCTTTACCGGTTGAACGGACCATCACTCTTCGAGGACACGCACCAAAAGCTCAGCTCCTTTCATCCTCTCCTCATCCTTCCGGGTATGTTGAACAGAAGGCGCGGGGATTTGTTTACCCCACTCGCTCACTCTTTTGATGATGTGATGTGATGAACCAAATGCATTATTGCGCGGTGACAGCAGCTTCTTAGCCAGCTCAGCTAGCTCAGCTTGGCTGTACTATAAATACATGCCGCCTATCGAGGCATCTTTGTCTCTGGTTGCTGCTGATGCAGGCGCTTTGTCTTCGGTAGCCTTTATCAACTCTCTCGCTCTCTTGTACGACATCGTCGCCAGCAGTTCGTACAGCAGTGTCACTCAGCTATGAGTCAGCTATAAGCAGCAGCAGCAGCTTGTTCTCTTTCTTCCCCTCCCCCTCCCCCTCCTCCTTCTCCTTGTGCTTTCTCTTCATTGATTCGTGCAGCAGCAGCAGCAGCTTCTACCACGCTGTCTGCTACGTTCAATTTGCACATCAAGCCTTGTGTTCTTTGTTATTTAGCCTTCTCCTGTTGTTTCTGCTTCAATTTCACTTCTTGGGTTGATGAAGTTGATGTGAGCGAGTGCACCAGGGCACCACTGCTCAAGTGCGCGGTGTGTTCAGCTGAGCGAAGAGATCTCTTTCTTTCTCTCTCTCTCTCTCTCTTGAGCGCCTTCTCGCACGAGTCTAATTATAGTCGACGACGACGAGTGCCGCCAATGCCACCCCAATACCGATCTTTAATAATAATACACACACAGGCAGGCAGACACTTTATACACTTTTATACACCGACACAGCATCGGCAGCCAGCTAGCCCACTCGCTTTCTAGCCCACTGCACAAGTGTATAAAGCACTGTGCGTACCACATTCGTGCTCCTGAACTACTAGTAGCCTATCTCTCAGCAGCAGCAGCAGCAGCTGTATCAGCTTTACAAAAGTAGCACATTTTTGGGCACTTTAAACTTGCCAATTTAACGGCCAAACATCTCGGACATTTCATGATCAACAGCAAAGTGGCTACCATAGCATCGACCACAACCACCGCCGGCTGATTCACCGGTTGCCGGCCGCCGCCGTTGTGGTTCTGTACGTGCACACTTCCTCTTTGCGTCCATTCCTCATCTCATCATTGCCTAATCCCGGCGGCTTAGCGTCATCAGTGCCGCTTGTGTCTTGCACTCTCTCATTGACTGAGTGAGTGAGTGACATTCAACACACAGCATCTGCCTCTACCAGTTTCACTTTAGGTGCATTTATTTGCATCGTGTGTAGTAGGTTGAATGGTTGCCACGCCGCCGCTGTTCGTGGTAAACTCTGCCAGCACTTTTACTTTTACTTTCACGCTGCGAACCAATTTGGTCTGG